AAGAGGGAATGTGGGAGCTCCTAAGTAGCTCTGATGGCAAAGTGGTTAAAGCACAATACTTTTTTAAACCTTTAAAATATTATACAAATAATGCATGTTCACTGATGGAAAAATAAGAGGTAACACACACACACACACACACACAACCAAATCTTACCACACAGAAAAAAAAAAAAAAACCCAATGGCCATAGTTTATATATTTGTGTGTATAAATATATATAACTATGTTGCTGTTGCTACTATGTGCCGTGAAGTTGGCTCTAACTCATTGCGATCCTATGTACAACAGAACAAAATACCACCTGATCGTGTGCAGTCCTCACAATCCTTGCTATACCTGAGCCCATCATTTCAGTCACTGTGTCAATCCATCTTGTTGAGGGTCTTCCCCTTTTTTCCTTATCCTCCATGATATCCTTCTGCAGGGAATGGTCCCTTCTGACAACATGACCAAAGTAGGTGAGACAAAGTGTGGCCATTGTCACTTTTAAGAAGCATTCCGGCTGCACTTCTTCCAGGGCAGATTTGTTCATTCTTCTTGCAGTCCGTAGTACTTTCAGTATTCTTCACCAATACCATAAATTCAAAAGCATCAACTCTTCTTTGGTCTTCCTTATTCACTGTCCAGCTTTCACATGCATATGAGGTGATTGAAAATACCATGACGTGGGTTAGGTGCACCAAAATTTTAAGGGTCTTTTGCAGCAAATTTGCCCAGTGCAGTACGATGTCTGATTTCTTGATTGCTGCTTCCATGAATGTTGATTGTGAATCCAAGTCAAATGAAATCTTTGAAAACTTCAGTCTTTTCTCCATGTATCATGATGTTGGTTATACGTCCAGTTCTGAGGATTTTTGTTTTCTTTAAGTTGAGATGTAATCCATACTGAAGACTAGTCTTTGATCTTCATCAGTAAGTGCTTCAAGTTGTCTTCCCTTTCAGCAAGCAAGCAAGGTTGTGTCATCTGCATATCTCAGGTTGTTAATGAGTCTTCCTCCAATTCTGATGCTCTGTTTTTCATAGAGTCCAGCTTCTTGGATTATTGCTCAGCATACAGATTGAATAAATATGGTAAAAGGATACAACCCTGACATACACCCTTCTTGATTTTAAACCATGCAGTGTCCCCTTGTTCCGCTCGAATGACAACCTCTTGGTCTATGTAGAGGTTCCTCATGAGCATAATTTAGTGTTCTGGAATTGCATTCTTCATAATGTTATTGATACTTTGTCATGATCCACACAGTCAAATCCTTTGCATAATCAATAAAACACAAGTAAACATCTTTCTGGTATTGTTTGCTTTCAGGCAAGATCCATTTGGCATCAGCAACTTGAAATCTTCTGTTCAGCTTTTTTATCTTGTCAAAACCAAGTTTCAGAGTCTCTTCTGACATCCATTTTGGTCTTTTCTTCCATTCCTGTCTTTATAATGACCTTTTGTTTTCTTCATGCATGATGTTCTTGATGTCATCTGACAACTCATCTGGTTTTTGGCCATAGTCTTAGGGGTCTCACCAATCTCTATCAGACCAATAAGCCTAGTCTTTTTTATGATTTTGAGTTTTGTGCCACATTTTTCTCCCACTCTCTCCAGGATCTTCTATCTTGATCCCTTATGAGTGGTTGACAGTGGAATCCAGGCACCATCTAGTTCTTCTGGTCTCAGGGTCATGCAGTAGGCTGAGGTTTGCATGGTCCACTAGTCCCTTGGGTTATTGTTTCCCTACATCTTTGATTTTCTCCATTCCTTTTTGCTCCAGACGAGGAGAGACCAATAGTCACCTCAGATGACTGTTTATAAGCTTTTAAGACCTCATTCACTACTCACCAAAGTAAGATGTAGAACAATGTTTTGTGTAGTATGTCATGTCAGTTGAGCTCGATGTCCCCCATGACCAGGTACCGAGCCTGCAGATCCAGCAGCTCACTCCCTCACAGTGTTTGGCCGTGGTTAAGAAGTTCTCATAACTTTGCCCCCTGTTAGCTCTGTTATATATATGAACATTCTTTTTTTTTTTTTCCCTAGATTCATTTATTTATTTATTATTATTATTATTTTTATTGTGATTTGGATGAAGATTTACAGACCAAATTCACCTTCCATACA